TACTCCCCCACCAGATTCAACGGCCGTTTGAATCGATACCAAACATGTTGGGAGTAGTCGCGCGACGGAGGTTGCCAGACGATTAATATGAATCCTCCGGGTATTGCCGAGCTGTAAAAGAAATGGAAAGGAGGCTGCAGAAACTGATCGGGAAACAACGTGTAATAACACGTAACAAGGACGTTGGCTGAATGTTAAGCGATCAACCATAGAAATAATAGAAAAAGAAACATTTTGGAGTTTTATCAAGTCGCGTTGAAAAAGATAGCTCTGACAAGTGGTTGAGTTCCTCAGGTGAGAAAAGGTAAGTTTGTCGCAAGAGTAGTGATGTCACAGTTATAGTACGATAAGTGTATTATCAATCGATGCCGATGTTTGTACTGCCCTTGGTACAAAGTAGAAAGTCAGTAAGTGTCGCTGACAACTGTTCGTAAGCGTCGATTTCTAGTTATATCTATATTTAACAGACTAACTGTAAGTACAGAAGTATAACCGTGAAGATAAGTCGTAGTTTCCTTGTGCAAAGCTTCTGATCAACTTGCAGTCAGTTTGGAAAAACTGATAACTGCTGTGAAAATCAATATGGGTCGAAGAATAGAGAGCGAGAGCGAAAGGTGGCACGATGAAATCTCTAAAAGATGATAATTGGTGAGTGCTGCACACGTGTTTGATGATTGAACCGAAAAATGTCGAAAAAAACATAAGAAACCAAGAGTGTCACTCTGAACTCATGTCAATGACATCGGTGAAAAATGCTGTCAGTGTTGGGGTCGAGACGACAATATCGTTGTCAGTTTGCAGGAGATGCGCTCGACTGCGTAAACCGATGATTCGCGTGAATGAGTGTCGTGAAACCACCAATTGAACTGGACAGGCTTTAGATCGTCGAGTAGTTGAACAGCCGATTGATGTACCGAAATCATCTGTTAGATAACAGCCACGCGGAAACAATACTTCATAAGATAAAAATACGACGTCGAAGTTGAATAACTACAATAGTTCGGATGTGTTGTAATGTCACATCGAAGTAACATCATTTCGTATACTGACAATTTTACTGAACGTTCTTTTGGGCATTGTTTATGTAGCAATTGGATGTGCGGTAGCAAACATATACGAAGACTATCGTGGGGTTTGTGGAGAATTTCAGAAGACGTTTAGATATTTTCCAAACCCGTATTGCATGTGAATAAGCCGAAGACGGAATTGAAGTGACTTTCGTACAATAAGGAAATCGAGTCATGATTTACTGTGTGAGATAACAGCAAGTACAAAGCGCATAGTAAACAATAATTTAAATGGTAACCACCAATGTAACTAAAGTTTAGGTTTAGATAACGTGATCGTTTCGTAAAAAATGCATATTATCTAGCTCTAAGTGACATCAAGTAAGACGAAGTGTCTCATTAACACATGGACTAAGATTGCTCGTGTACATGAAATACGTTTTTTCAGAGTATGTTAACTTACGAGTCATAAATGTAAGTAGTTTCGACCAAAATTTGATGGCAGGGACAGAATGTATGTCTAAGTGAAAGTAGCCGCTGAATGTTATTAGACATCATAAACATTATACGAAATTATTTAACAGTTATGAAACTCGCCTGGGTTACTCTTGCTCCAAAGTAATTGAAATTTGTTGATTAACTTCGTAGATTAACGAAGCGTTGTAGACTGAATTGGAATAAGTCTAATTTAGGTCGAAAACGTAGAATTGCCTGACGAAGTCTAAACAAGATCTAACATTGCAGGAAATTCATAGTTCAAACTCACCGTAAATTTCTAGCATTTGTATCCTCTGATTCGCCATGGAACTCAGCAATTGGAAATTAGGCATGCAGTGGTCAAGAAAGTAAAATATTCTAGTAGATAGTTTTTGATAGTAGTTAGTTGACAGTGAATAAGCAGAAATATGAATTTAATAATCGGCAGTTTATCCTGTATTGGTTATACAAGTGGATAAGTTGCAAACAGATATGCGTACGTGTTGCCTTGAGGCCATACTTACGAGTGGTTGATATTTTAACACACAGGAGCATTTACACGCTGCTAATGCTTGTTAAAGAACCACGATAGTCGTAGTTGATTGGTTAGTTCTATCGATTGAACTAATTATTTCAGTTGAAATACTAATCAACAGTGATAAGAAGCAATGAATGTTCACAGAAACTGATAAATATAGCCGAAGTTAAAAATGAAAATAATAAGTATAAAATGCAATAAGAAAGATCATAATGATAGGTTGCGTTATTCGAAGTCTTGCTCACCAGTGTAGTCCATCTACGTTGATGATCTATGTCAAAATGATCGGGGGCCTACTAGAGTTAGACGAGAATGGTGACGAACCAACTAACGCTGAAGTCACACCTCGCGACCAGACCTTACGTGGATTGAACCATCGACGCGTCAAAGGATAATGGATGCTATGGAGACTGTACAACACAAAGGACGTTATTACAAGAATATATTAGTTAAGGTACAACTATGGAAGTACAGAAGTGAAAGAATAACCAGTGCAGCATGAGCCAGTCCATGGCGTATGATTGATTTGTGCGCGTTGACTATCCTTCACCTTGACAGGGATCAGTGATCTGTTCGATATTCAGTGATCCTGCAGTGGTTTTTGTGTGCTGCTCCTAACGGTGATTTCAACTCACCCCTATTTGTTTCAGTACGTTTTGTTTATCTCTAACTTTTTACATTAGGCAGTATGATAATCATTCTATGGTAAGGAGGTCTTTCACCTATTTTTGTGGCTTTTTGAATTCGTGTTTTCTATCTTATTTTGGTTCTGTTATTTCACTATGTCGTCCCATAACATGTGCTTTCAGATGCATAAGCACAGAGCTGATAGTTGACATTCGTTGAAATCAATTAATATGATCAGTGAATAATTAAAGGCTATGGTGATAAAGTCATTTGAAAATTCAAATAATTTTTGTCACTGATAGTTTTTCTGAATCAATAAACATTTACCCCATTTCGTTCCTCAACCTTCAAAATATACACCTCAACGACCCACATATACAATTTTGGACTTAGTCTGGGCTAGAGAATAACGGAATAAAATAAGTCGAATAAGAAATCTGAACAGACAATCAGGGAGAAGTAGTGGAGAGAGCGAAGCGAAACGAAATGATGCGAAGTGGAGTAGGCAAGTGAGACAACTCAATTTATTCAGGTATCATTCCATATTTATTGTCAGACCAAAAATAAGTCACAGGCATAATGATTAGTATAAGCAGTCAACACACATATGATCAAATAAACAGTCAGGTTGATAAGCTAATAAGTGACAAGGCCAGAATGTTGTTTGTGAGGAATGAATATGTTGGTCTGCCCAGAAGCTAGAATAGCCTATGTGCGCAGCAGTGTATTTGCGAGCAATAATCAGTGGATTGTATTGTGTGTTTTTACAAATTGGGAAGAAAAGTCAAAGGTCGAGTTACTATTTTTTGAAAACAATCTTGCAATCAACGATGGTGGTTGTAAAAATTATAATAATTAATGGAAAATGCAAATAATAACAATAACTGGTTACAAAATGAGTCTATTTTAAGTATCTCCACAAATTTTGTCTATTTCGTAATCTTATGCAGGTAATATTTCATCTGTAAGCCCGAGTTATGAAATATTGATTCCGCCTGTAAAATTTTTTTGATGATTAATCCTGATATTATTCTCATGTATTCGAATTTACTCACATTTTTCTATAACCAGTATATCTTTTTACTTATCAGCCTGAGTAGCTTATTGCTGTAAATAGTCCAACATTCGCAATTTTTTTTATCTTATCTGTAAACTGGAATGTCTCCTGTAACGTATTGTCAGAAGCTACTGTCTTGGGGACTGAGTTTATTTAGAAACTTTAGGGGATATGCTGGAGTGTTTGGGGTGCTATGTATCACTCAAAGGTCCTCTCTGAGTCACCTATACTCCAATACGTAAGGAACTGATGAGTTGTGACGTTCTTTACGAGATTGAAAGTTAACCTTCTCAAATGATTTCACCCCTTATCTCTGAATTAGTTTAGGGGTATTCTTGTCTTTTTGGAATGAAGAAGGAAGCACCAACTTTCCATATCCTTAATAACGCCGAACAAAACTGCTGAGAACTAATTTGGAAATAATTAAAATGATTCTTTCTGAAGACTTAAAGAGAAATGGTCAAAACATGAGCAATATTTTCGTGATAAGAATATAATCTGAGTTAGACAATTCATAACTAACATTACGGACAAATGGTAATCAAATCACCACTGAAAACCAGGAAGATTTTGACAAGTGTTTAATTCCAGTATGGGATTCTTCAACAATTTGCTTCCACAACTCACGCTGATGACTGAATTCAGGACCTCTGGACCCCATAGAGGGCCCTTTGGCTTTTAACGCACCAAGCTGGCATTTGATAGTTAAAAAATTTAAAAACAGTCAGCTATTAAGATTTGATATTTGAAAGGTGGAACATTATGAGAAATCTTTGCATAAATTCATATTGTAAATTTAGAAAATAAATCAGTATCTGTTGATAAAATCAGGGGCCTCTACAAAAATTTCATGAGATGGTTACGTAAATTTCTCAAGTATTTTCAAACATTAATTAAACTATGGTTATCCATACAGAGAACAAAAGTTGCCAAATATCGGAGTAATTTTATTTTTTTAACTAGTGTGAAACTTTTGTCTCCAACTCTTAGAATTGTAAATAAAAATGGTTGTAAGGCAAGATAAAGTGTTTGAATGCAATCACTACGAAGTGATGATTGTGATCTGTAACACTCATTTAGTAGCATCCAATGCTTTAAGGAATGATGAAAGGTGTTATGTTTTCGAATATGCTATTCAGAAAATAAAGGAATTGTTTTAGATGAAACGTTAAAGTAATATTTTGCTTGCTATACACACTTTGAGATGAAGATCAGATTGAAATCTAACACCTTGTTTAAATTATTTAGTCAGCTCCACTCTTCTTGAAGAGGCTGTTTCGACTTCTAGTCCTCGATGGGGTTCTCCGAAGGTGATATTGAGAAAGGAAAGAAGCTATTTGTTCAGAGATGTAGTCAGTGTCACACCGTCGAGAAGGGTGGTCCTCACAAAGTGGGACCCAACTTAAGTGGTCTGTTTGGTCGTAAAACTGGTCAAGCTCCTGGGTATACCTACACTGCTGCCAATATAAGTAAAGGTAATCTTCAAAATCTTTTGTTTGTTACTATTTTTTACTATGCTTCAATATCAAAATTAAAGTAATTTAATTACTGTTTAAGTTTCCAGGAATCATAGCTCGCATATCTTTACATTAGCCAGAATAACGAATTTCCACATTGTGTGAATGTATCATCAGCGAAACAAACAGAAAGTCTCCTGAGTCTAAACCTTATGGATAAATATGTTGTTAGCTGTTGCAAGCTTCAACAGCTACCCTATAGCCCATTGTTTGTCACAGTCTTATCAGTTCAGTAATCTCGAAAGTTGACTTATTCGCACAAACAGACAAATTTTTCGCTAGAGACCGACAATTTGTATTCATGATCGAATATTGTGTCACATAGCATCTTGTTATAAAAATTCACTCTCTTTCTCATCACCATTAAAATTACTACTTTTTGCTAGCCTTCCTAATTTCTTTACCCACTTATTCAAATTGTAACGACTTTGACTGATGCATATCTGTTTAACCTTGTATATGACTGTTCCGTTTGATTAAGTCCGCTATTTCTCGGTATGGAGTCGTGGAACAAATCGGTTCTTTTCGGGTTGACACCTGGCTTGATACGGTTCACTCATAAGTTCGCGGGATAATGTGGTTTGGCGACCACTCATATTCTAGGATAGAAGCTGTTCGTGGTTCTCTTGCGGTTCTGATATCTCAGCCCAAAATATTGCCACGCAACTTTTGTATTGATATAATTTCTTTCGCCTCTATATCATTCCAAACATTACTTCTGATGTTTAAATTTTGCATGACTTCCTAATCATAATATAATCATCTCACATGATGGGATGTGCGTTTAGCTATTTGGTACCACTTGGCATTTTTGTCATTAACGAGCAGAAAAATATCTTTCCTTTACCATTGTCATTGTTAAAACTGCCCTTCAATTGATGATGTTTAATTATTGGTATTTTATACATATTTGTATTGCCCACCCGCTGATTCGACGTCTTTTATTCTTATGACTTCTAGTTACCAGTAGATTATGTCCGTCTAGCCTGTGTATAAAAGATGTAAATCGGATTGAAAGTGATGTTTATTTAGGAAGTTATTTACTAGTGGTAGCAAACATTGCGCACTTTAACAATCCTCTGTTCACAAACATGCCGTCAGGCTCCAAAGATTATCTGTGTTTTATAAATTACAAATAACACTGGTGATTTTCACATGTACAAACTTGTGAAAAATTTTTTACTAACAGCATTATCGCATAAACCATCAATAGGTTTGCTAATTCGTTTAATATTTATTAAAGCAAGTCAAGTCAGGTGAAAACATGCTTTTGGCTTTTTTATTTCGTGAACCACTAACTATTTCCACTTATAGTATTAATTCTTTCATTATTGCTTAGGTATCATATGGAATGAGCAGTCTCTATTTGAGTATTTGGAAAATCCGAAAAAGTTTATCCCTGGTACGAAGATGGTCTTTGCTGGTTTAAAGAAAGACACTGATCGCAATGATATCATTTCCTACCTTAAAGAAGCAACAAAATAAGAATATTCTAAATATCTGATTTCTAGATTTTACTTTGTTGTAGCAGTTCTTTAATTAACTTGATATGTATAGAAACATAAAGCCTGAGCTTCCGAGTACGTGAAAATAAATACTCTTGTTTGTGTATTTCTGATCTCTTCTGAAGTCAATATACTATGATAATTCAATTTCTGAGATTTTTGTAAAATTAATATTAGTGCAAACATATTAACATAATGATGAAACATGTTTGTCTAATGCAATAGGCTTATAATGTCCTTTCTACCACCATACCTTCCGTTTGTTTTCAGTCACTGCTCAAACTAATTCCCAGTGGAGTAATAGCTTGGAGATTGACCTTAAGCCATATAATCCTGGGTTAACATACTACTTTGGTTTAGGCTGTCGTCGGTTATGTTTCTCAGTTCAAACTTAAATAAGTATTGACTATGCTTATTCGCTTCACAATAAACTTAGAATATTTCATCTCATTGACTAAAATCAACAGAAAAAGTGGTCATCCTGACAAAACAACCGATTGAAGCAACATGTTGGATATAAATCTGGATTCTGACAAGTATCCAAACTTACTATGAGGACATATTTAATCCGTTTGCTCTTCCCATTATGAAACAGATTTAAATGTTGTTTGAAATAATAGTTCTTTGTTAATCATGTGAATGGACTTACCCTTAATTACGGTTTTAAGTGGCTTTTATATCTACACGCCCTTTTCACAATATGAGTTGCGAGTTCCCGTTATTTGCCAGTGGTCACTCTCATTCATCTACTTTGAATATAATTGATGTAAAGATGAGTTTCTAAACTAGAATCTCAGTCGACATTCGAGACTGAGGGTCGACTAGCCCTTCGCGAAATACTTACCAGATGTTTATGATGTGATTTTATTAAACCAATATGCCTCGTCATTTTTAACACCACGACGAAATTAGATTTTTCATCATTAATGTATATATGCTCATAATCTCAGGCAATCTCAAAGTAATTCATTAGGATTTTAGACGGCTGAATCTATGGAAGTAATCATGATAGACAAAATGAAGTCCATACAAGTCTCCACTAGTCACAACTAAGAACAGAGTTTGTTGTGTGCGTATTTCCATGCCTGTTTTGTGTGTTCTCAGAAAATAGCCCCTTCGTTAAGAAGCAATTTTAAAACAGAATTGTGAATCGAACAGGAAAATCCAAGGCAGGGGTGAATAATGCGGACCAATGATTATGATGAAAAGGTTGTACAAAGATTGACATCTAAGACGTTGTTTCATCAGTGACTTAACATAAGTCATGTTAGTAGAGAACAAAGTATGGTTATAACCTTTTGCAAATATTGATCTTCTCTTACTGTTGGGATCTTATGTAGTCTCAATCTTTATTTATTTATTTAAACACATATATATTGGTACAAAAGGGCACCAGGTACATATGCGCCACACAAAATAATGAAAGTAGGAAGGGAAAGGATGAAAAGATAAGGCGGACTGAAATGTACAACCAGAAGACTCTTTCAGTTAGGAAAGTTAGAACCACTCTTTATGTAGAAAGTAAAAGAAGGTTGCAGCAGGATCGCCACTGGCTTCTATTCTGAGCCATATCTGATAACGTCTCTAGCCACTGTGTTGCACCATCTCTCGGACCCCAGCCAGGGAGTCGTGAAGGACCAACAGAAGCTAGCCCTTTGCAGCTCTCTTTCATGCCACGACACCATGTCATACACTGACCTCCTCTCCGCTTTTTCCAACCAGTCCCAGGGTCGGCAAATAATGCACGACGTGGAAGTCTCTGGGACGACATTCGTAAAGCATGTCTAAGCCAACGAAGTCGGTGTTTCAAGATGGTGACACCAATTGAATTATCGTCTCTGCGCCCGAACACACGATGCCGAACCTCTGCATTACTAACATGGTGTTGCCACTGTATGTCAGCAATCCTTCGCGGACAACGATGATCGAACACAGAGAGTTGTCTAACATGCTCAACTCGGAGAAGCCAGGTTTCACAAGCATAGAGCAAAACTGCTCTCACCGACGCGTTGTAGATCCGACCTTTTACAGCCAGACTAACATCATGAAGGCGCCAAAGATGGCCCAGATTGGCATAAGCCGCTCTGGCTTTCATTATACGTGCACCAATCTCATCACTCACGCCACCACCAGCACTTATATAGCTACCTAGATACACGAACTTCTCAACTACTTCGATCTCCTCACCATCCAGGGTGAGTACAGGATTAGAATCCTGCCAGTCTTGTAGGAGTACTTTGCACTTGGAGGGTGCAAAGCACATGCCGTACCTGCGGACACTGATTGCCAACTGATTAAGTGCTGATTGCATGCCTTGGGCATTATCGCACAGTAAGACAATATCATCCGCATACTCAAGGTCGAGAAGTCGTTCTCCAGGCAACATATCCACACCGCCATTACTTACATCCACCAGAGCTGTTTCCAGGATGTCGTCGATGGCAAAGTTGAAGAGGAATGGTGAGATCGGGCAACCCTGCCTAACCCCACTGCTCGAATGGAACAAGGGAGAAAGGTGGTTGTATGCTCTCACTCTGCCTGAGGTGTTCGTATACAGGGCCTTTAAGATGTTAATGAACTTCTCAGGCACACCCTTCTTCAATAGACAATCCCAGAGAACAGTCCTGTCCAACGAATCGAAGGCCGCCCTGATATCAAGAAACACTACGATTGTTGGCCTGCGATAAGTATGACGGTGTTCTAACATTTGGCGGAGGGTGAAAATGTGATCAATGCATCCTCGACCAGAACGAAAACCAGCCTGCTCCTCGCGAGTCAATCGTTCTCGGGTTTTAAACAACCTACGAAGAATGATAGAAGCCAATAGTTTGGACGCGATCGAAAGTAGACTTATCCCCCGGTAGTTATTGCAGGAACAACGTGAACCCTTTTTAAAGATAGGGACGACTATTGACTCATTCCATGATGTTGGAACACTTTCTTGCTCCCAAACCTTTCCAAACAACACAGTCAATTCCTTAGTCAGAAAGTCACCACCATCTTTAAAAAGAGCCGGAGGTAAGTTATCTGGGCCAGGTGATTTGTAGCGTTTCAAGAGTTGGAGTTCCTTGCGGACTTCCGCCTCGTTTGGTGGAACAGTCGTCACCGGCCATGGGGGGCAGGACAAGCTGGTTGATGTTGCCGGAGCAGCAGGCCAGTTGAACTGCCCTTCGAAAAATTCCGCCCATCGTCCAAGACGTCGGGAGATGTTAGTGATTGGCATCCCATCATCCTCGTAGATTGTTTCACTCACACCAGACTTCTTGCTGCCAGTGGCTCGGATGAGTTGGAAGAGCTTCCGGCAGTTACCAGATACAGCTGCTGCTTCCATCTCATTAGCACGCTCCGACCACCAGGCTTCCCGGTCCTTACGCAAGCTTTGCCCGATTTCATTACGTAACAGCCTTCGTTTGTGGTCAAACTCACGGTCACCCGGAGTAGACCGACGGGCTTCCATCAGTTGTAAGGAGCCAGAAGAGACCCAGTGCTTGTAAGCGGGACGTTTCGCGAAGCCGCAAGCGGCTTTACTCGCCATTTTCATGGCGTCGTGAAGATGCAACCAATGCTCATCTATACTTTTCGGTGGGGTGGTAGCTAGCCTAGAGGCTAGCTCCGCTCGATACTTACTTGCAACAGATGTTGCAGCCAGTTTACTAATATCAATCCGTTGGTGGTGGTCAATCCTCCGGCCACTGAAAAGTAAGGTGAGATTGGAGCAGACCAGGGCATGATCAGACTCCAGATAGGTACTCCAAAAGGAGCGGCAGTCTTGTACACAACCACGCCAGCGGTAGCTGATCGCGATGTGATCAATCTGAGTCCAGGCTTGGGATGACGCCAGGTGGCACACCGGCGATGACTGTGCCGGAAGTTAGTGCTGGCCAGAAACAGGTTGTGGTCTGTGCACAGTTGCAGCAAACGGTCCCCGTTATCTGTCCGGCGACCAACAAGTCCCCATCGGCCACCTAGACGACTCTCTTCTGTGCCTAGACGCCCGACCTGTGCATTCAAGTCTCCGGCTAGTACTGCAATATCTGTCGAACGCGCTTTCTGGAGAAGAACTGTTAACTGATGGTAAAACTCATCCTTGATTGCATCCGGGCTGCAATCTGTCGGGGCATAGGCTGATATGTCGAAAAGACACCGTTTCTCACGCCGATTTCTTCTCACTTTGATGGAACTTTCTAATATAACAGCACATAACCGACTGTTAATGGGGATCCAATCGATTAGTGCTGCCTCAGCCCTAGCGCTTAGTGCGACACCAACGCCAGCAAGACCAGACGAAGATGCCACAGGGTCCCCGGATAAGCGCACGTGGAACAAGCTTTTCGAGGCGACAGATGGAGAGCGGATTTGTAGTACTTCACTAGAGTCTTGAATACGGGTCTCGGATAGACAACAAACATCAACATTAAGACCTTCCAAAGACATAGCCAGCCCTATCTGTTGTCTGATATGCATTAGTGTGCGAACGTTGAAGGAAGCCAGCTTGAACGGCGTACGTGGTTTCAGAAAGACTGCCTCAGTATTCATTATCGGTGGAAGCATTCACTTTCAACCAGACAGTGACTGGAGATCGTTTAGATAGGACAGATTTTCCACCAAGAGCGAGCTGATGCATAAGTTGAAGAGTAAGGTAACACAAATTGGGGGTAAAAGGGGGTGAATTAGCGATATGGTAAGTAATAATAATAATAATAATGTAAATTGTCTTGCTTATAATATGAGCAGGAATAGAATCGTCAGTAGAGTTCATCATTTCATTCATTTGTGTGTGGGCTGTGATACTGCCCGGGTGCCCAAACCGAAGCAGGTGGTTTTCTTAGGGGACCACACCCCGAGCCTTTGACCTAAAGGTCTGATCCACAAGGCAGTGGAGCATCGTGAGGAGATGCAGTCCCATGGTAGCCGTTGACCAATGACAGGTTCTTCCGCCATTCGTTCCATCAGGATACTGGAGCCCGTGTGCACAATTGG